TAAAAAAAAAAAAAAGTAATATTGAAAATCAAAATTGAAAAAATTTATTTTCTTTAAATACAGAGATATGATTTTTGAGGGGTCTTTTGCAGCTTATTACTATTGTTTTGGTTTCTTTATCTTTTAATTTTTTTTCTTTACAAAAAAATCTTTGACGATATGTTAGAAATTCAGAATATTTTCCTTTTTTATTTATTTTATTTTGTTTAATTTTGGCATTTCAAGTTATTTTTAGAGGATCGTTTTCTTTTTCAGTTTTCTTACACAAAACAAATGTCCAAAAAAGAGCAGAACTTTTTTTTAATATTTGTACTCTTTGTTAAGAGATGAAGGTTTTCGGGAGAGAGGGTAGAGGACTTATAGCTTTAAAAAAATATCACAACAAAGGGGATAATATGAAAATAAATAATTAACATCAATATCTCAAAGATTAAAAAAAAGAATTGTGTAATAAAAAAGTAATATTAAATAAAATAATAAAAAAACAAAAGAAAATAAAAAAATAAGCCTTAAAAATCCACAACTCAAACAAAAAACACACAAATATTTGTTTTATATTTTTTTTTTAGATAATAGAAATAAATTTTTCCATTTTATTTATAATTTCCGAAAACAATTTGTAAAAATTACAGAAATTAATAATATTAATTAATAATTATAAGATTACAAATAATTTAATTAAAAAATAATGTATATATATATTTTTTATTTTGTCTCTATGCAATAAAACAACAAACATAATAATAAAATATTTATTTTAAATTTAATTATTAAAAATATTTAAAAAAATATATATAAGCATATTTAGTAAGTACCCTCGGTTGGTTGGACACATATACAGGAAGAAAAAAATACAAAAAAAATATATTAAACCAAGAAAAAAAATGCAAAATATAAAACAAAAAAAAAATATTAAGCTAAAAAAATACAAAAAAAATCTATTTAACAAAAAAAAAAGAATAATTTAATAAAAAATAATTCGAAAATTACAATGAGCGACAAAACTTAAATTATAATTTTTATATTATTTATTGTTATTACAATATATAATTATGTATATTATAAATATAGCTACCATTCGATTGGTTTATTGTAAAAGAAATTTATAACTTGATATTATAGTTTTTTTTTTTTTTATAAAAAAATCAAAACTCTTAGCAGAGATTTCTGTTCCTAAAATAAAGTTTTTCCAAATAACTTTTTTCTAACAAAAACAACACCTTCAGAAAGTCGAATTATACAGGCATGTCACAAAATCATACCGAAATGGTTTGAATTTCGCAATTCAAAATCGTACGATTTTGTTTTACCTTCTTCAAATTTCGTACGAATTGATGGACTACGAATTCAGTGTAAATATGGCAGCATTATATATTCAATATGGTAACCTTAGGAGAATGAAGGAACGAATGAACGAGGAATCAAAACAAAACACATGATTAGAAAACAACGTTTTTTTCCAATCATTATTTTGAAAATATTTTGTTTTTATTTTCCAAAACAATAAATATATACACAAAATTGCTTAGAAAAAATCACTTAGAAAAAAATTGTAATCAGCTGGCAGCTCTACCATACCTTTTTGTTGTACCATGCGTAATAAAACATTGTTTGGTTTTCACAGATGAATAATTTTTTGTTTGACGAAAAAAGTGATTTGGCAACACTTTGTTAACAATTGCCTTCGTCAATTGAGAAACCATTAAAATTTGCTAATTATTTTGAATAAAAAGATTAAAAAAGGTAAATTTAATTGTGTATTTTTCATTAAGACAACTTTTTTATTCCTTAAAAGTATTTTGAATCGAATCGAATCGAAAAAAAATGTTGCGCCGAATTCATTCTAGGTTTACGTATGTCATATACGTCAGAATTTCTGACAGACCATCTATGGCTGACATAAATCATGGACATAAAGGCCAGAGCATGGTCTAATATATAAGGTAGGCCAAGAAGACTACAATTGAATAATAAAATCCAACTTAGTTCTCAGATTTGCCGACCTTATGTAGGCTATGATCCATAGGGAAATTCATTCTCTGGCTTATTATCGTCCATATTTTATTAAAGTCGATTTTTTTCAAATTTTTATATTTATTATTATTTTTATTTATTTTATTTTTATTTATTTGAACAAAACTTTCTTTTAAGAACAGAATAACATCTAGTTCGAGTTTTGGATATTTTTGCAAAAATTTCTTATTAATTCTTATTAATTAGGAGCTGTAAAAAAGATCGTTGCTTCATATTTTTGATAATAGTAGTGGTGGGGAAATGTTTGAAAATTAAAAAGACGAACATATATTTTTTGAGGTTAGAATGAATTTTAATTTTTACTATAATTTTGAGCAAAGGGAATTATTCTCAATGCCACAAAATTCTAAGAAGAGATCAAATTGAAAAAATAATATGTGTTCATTCTAAATCTCCCAACGTTAGGATGGCAACTTTTGTCGTTTTTAACCTCAAACATGTCCCTTTTTTTTAAACATATTGATTTTTTTTAAAAAGAAAACAAGTTTGGAGAAAGAGAAAAATAATAAAATTACCAATTTAACTACTTGGCAAAGAAGGGGTTAGTTGTTGCTTTCTTTCCTGTAAAAATGTATTGCTTTTAAAAAAATTTCTTTGAGAAAAAAGCTAAATTAAAAATGTCAAAGAAAAATACCGATGTCTTTAGGTGCAATTAGATGGGGGCTATAGCAAAACTCAGACAGGAACACATATAGCCAATTTACAGCAAATTCGGGATTAAAATCGTGACTTAGAAACCCAAAAAAAAAAAACTTAAATCTGTCGGTACAGTTATATGGGGGCTATATCAAAATGTTGATACATATAGCCCACAATCCATTACAAAAGTCTTGGAGTCCTAAAACACATCTGAGCACAATTTTCGCAAGCTAGAGTGATTTCCACAGACGGTCAGACGGTAATGGAATGACAAACAAATGACAGACTTAAGTCGGTCGGCTCAGTTATATGGGGACTAGAGCTAAACGTGGACCTATAAAGCCCATTTTCATTTCCAAAAGTCGGGCTCACACATCTGAGTAAAATTTTTCGAAAGCTAGACGGATTTCCACAGACGTCCGACCGTCCGCTAAATCAACGCTTATTCGAAATGTCTATTTCGAGGAATGACAAATCTAATGGTGAGGATACAAAAATACTTTTTTACGACTTTGAATTGAACTTCAATAGAGAATCAGTTTTTTGTGCCAAAAATCCCATAGACTGCTTGATTTAAGGACTTTCAATATCTTTGGCTATTTGGAAATTTGTCACAGAACTTTTCAGAATACATTTTAACCTGGCATAGTTTGAATTTCATTTGAATGAAAACTGTATACATTCTCAAGTGGACCTTCAAAGACCTGAAACGGTTCTTTTTTGTTATAATTTTGGTTAAATATTATAAAAACGGAGTTCCGTTCCACATCAATTCTAGGCCATTAAGTAAACATCATTAAACTGTGATAAATTTTAAGAATATTTATTTATGGTCAGTCAAGACCCCACTGAATCTTTGAGACACTAAATATTGTCAAGAAAAATCCTATCATTTGATGGAACATTTAGGAATTTTGTTTAATTTTTTTTTTTGATTTATTTTCTATTTTCCTCTCGAGACGAGCTTAATGATCTGAAATTTTCAGCGAAAGGGAAAGCCAGTTAGACACCATAACTTGATGATGGCTTAGAAAGGCAGTTCTTTGGAAGCATATGCGAATTAAATCTCGAAGAATTCATGTTCGATTCAAGCTCTACAAGCAAGTCTTTCACAGCAAAGCTTGTTTTTAAGAATTTTGCTTATTTTTCTTGATAGGAACCTCTGAAAAAGACCCTTTTGGCAATTTCATAATCCTCACAAAAACCCTTTGGCGAGTAGTTATTAAAAAAAAAAAAAAACAATAAAAGAAGCTTTTTTGTAGGGATGTTTTTTTTTCTTATTTAGCAATTTTGTTTACTTTTCTTGAGCTCTAATAGAGAACCTCTGAAAAAAAACCCTTAGCAGTTTAATAATCCACACAAATAACCCTTTGCCGAGTAGTTATTTTTTTTAAATAAGAAAAAAAGGAAAAACGAATTGCACACTTGCCTTACTAACCAAAATAAAATCAAATACGAAAACAAAGAATAAGAATACGTTTTTGTTTGTTTTTTTTGTCACATAATATTTTTTTTTAAATATATTTTAAAAATATTTCGTTGATATTTTTAGTTAATGATTATTATTATTATTAAATTAATGATATTATATATTATAATTAATTGTTGTATTATTATTATAATTAATATTTTTAAATTAAGTTTAAGTCACTCTCCCTAAGAAAACATTAAAAAAAGTGTATTTCATATAAAACACAATTGTTATATATATAGAAAGTTTTTTAAAAATTTTGGTTTTTTAGACATGTTTTGTTTTTGTGTTTATTTTTCTAATTCCATTTGTTTAGCAGTTTTGTTGTATAGGGGGATGGGTTTTCTCTGTTTTCATTTTATATTCTTCTTTTATTAAGATTTCATTTTTTTTTACATTTAAACAATTTTCTAAATACATAAAAACTAGTAAATTTTATGATGGTATTTTTGTTTTTTTTTTTTTATACGCCACTGATATGGTTGTTAAGTGTTGCTTTTTATTGCTGATATTATTTGTTTTTTTATTTTTATAAAATAGGGGGGTTTTGTTTTAAATAATAAAAAAATGAATATATGTAAAACAAAATAATATTCAAAGGTTTTTTACTTTTTGGTTAAAACGAAACAAAAATCCATTTATAATTTTAGTTATTTAAAAAAAATCTTAACACTTTTCTTTCTATCCATGTTTGTTTTCTTCTTATCTTTCTTTCTTTTTTGTTTGTTTATTTGCCTGCAAAAAATCTTACTTGTCTGCTCTTAATTTACATTAATAATTGTTAGTTTTTGTTTATGTTTTTTACATATATGTTTTGTTTTTTATTTAAATTATTCAATTTTTTTTGTTTTGTTAAAAAAAATTATTTAATTAATTAATTATACAATATTTATTTAAAATTAAGCACAAAAATGTCTTTTTTTAATTGTTGTTGGTTGGTTGGTTGTTTGCTTGGTAAAATTGTAAATTTGTAAAAAGTTGTGCATTCCATTATCTTTTTCATTTTCATTTAATTAAATTTTTTGTTGGTTGCTTTTGTTTATGCCAAAATGATAATCAAATTAAATTAAATTAGAAACAATACTGCATATCTTAGGGGTACAGGGTGGCCCAAAATATTAATGAGGGGGTAAAAATAGGAGGAGATTATAAAAATCAAATCATTTTTAGGAATGTCCAATTGAATGGGCATTTGTTAAATGATTTTGAAATTTGAGAAAGAATTTTATCTGGACTTTTGTCAGAAGACTTTTTAACTCTCAATAAAAACCATAAAAAATTGTTCTATTTTGAAATGGATACCATCCGACCCAATGGCCAAGATCATGGGGAATCTATATTTTTAAACCAGTAAGGAAAGCTCAAAAGTCGGGCGGGGCCGACTATATGATACCCTACACCCCTATGCATATTTAGTAGAGGTCTTGTAAAAGAAAGGTTTATATTGCAATTTCTGAGCTCTATGAGATATCGGGTACAAAATATCATTATGGTAGAGTGCATCTGCTGAAAGTTGGAGATTTGAACACCAAATCAGATAAGGAAATTTGCCAAACTCTGTTGAATTGTGAAAATTCATAGCATTTGGGCTAATATTAGCCATTTGGCGCACAATAAACCTGAAATCGGATAATGGGAGCTATATCCAAATCGGAACCGATCTTTATAAAATTGAAAACAGTTATTTCTTGGCTGTATCTGATATCTGGTACCAAATATTATTCTTGAGTGACTTAAACACCAAATCGGATGAAACATATCTATATATATGGGAGCTATAGCTATATCTGAACCGATTTTTATCAAATTTAAAGTACATCATTCTATACTAAATTCGGTCGCAAGTGCCGAAATTCACACAATCGGACTGATATTAGCCATTTGGTGCACAAGAAACCTAAAAACGGATGAAACGCATATATATGTTAGCTATAGCTATATCTGAAGCGATTTTCAACAAATTTAAAATACATGCTTGTCGACTGAATTCGTTAGGAAATGCCGAAATTCACTCCATTTGGACTGATAATATTTAGTCATTTGGGCCACAATAAACCAGAAAATCGGTCGTAGATATATGTGGGAGGTTAATATAAATTTGGAAATGCCGAAATTCACTCCATTTGGACTGATGATAGGTCGGTCGTAGATATATATGTGAGCTATAGCTAAATTTGGACCGATTTTCAATCCAATTCCTATAGGGTTCGTCCATGAGCCATACAAATATTATTTGGAAAATTTCAGCTCAATCGAATAATAAATGCGACCTGCATTTTGTTTACAAAAATACATAGACAGATGGACACACAGACCGACGGATATGCATAAATCGCCTAAGAAAGTGATTCTATGCTGATCAGCCAAAAAGGAACTATGGGTTTATCCCGTTTCCTTCTCCATGTTACAAACAAATGCACAAACACATAATACCCTTACAAATATGTGGTGTAGGGTAAATAAAAAATAGTATTGGTCTTCTTTTTCAAGAGGTTTTGCAGATTTTCTGTGACAATTCCAGGATATTTTCTTTTTAAAAATTCCTTATGGTAATTTATGGGAATAATAGGTTTCCATTTCCCCAAAATAATGACATGAATGTGGCCATCCATAAACCTCTTTCTTCACATCATCCACACTTCCCCCATTCACATACATTTTGGGCTACCCTGTAGAGCTCTCGTAAACATATCTCATCGAAAGTTGTAAACTAAATAAATTTGTTGCTCTTGTGGTATTTGTTGTTGGTTTTGTTAAGCATGCAGTTGTCTTGTGTTTTTCTATTGTTATACTCTTAGTTGTTCTTGTTGTTGTTGTAAGCACATAATTTCTTAATTACATTGTAAAAATAACATACATACATAATTATATTGTTTTTTCTTTTCATTTTCATCTTTTTTTGTATATATTTTTAGTATTTCATGTTTTTGTTGGTTTTGTTGTATTTTCATTTTCCTTTTGTTTTTTTTTGTTTTCATTTGATAATAATACTACGATTTTTTGTGTTGTTTTTTTTTTTCGAAAAAAAAAAGAAATAAAAATAAGCAAAACCAATAGGACCTTAATTCATTTCATTTATCTTGTTCTTCTTAGAGTTTTAGTAATTATTTTTTGTGTTTTTGTTTTGTTTTTTGTAAATCTGTTTGTTTTTATCTTCTCTATTATTATTTAGATTAGATTATTTTTTATATATATATTGTCAAATCATGGTTTCTTGTATTCTTCATTCATGTTTTTAATATTTTTTTTGGTTATTTTTCACATTTTCATTTTTTGAGATTTTTTTTACACAAGTTTTTTGTTTTATTTTATAATTTTTATAATAAAGATAAAAACTAATTTCTTTTATTTATATAAATATTTATATATGGAAGTTAATAAAACAAAATAATAAAAATAATTAATAAAAAAAAACTTATTTAAGAAAAAACAATGAGAAACAACAATTGCTGGTTGATTTGATTGGTAAAAGTTCCATCGTTACAAACTAAATGAAAATTTAATAATAATTAATTAATAGAAAAAAACCTTACAACTCAAAAGTGAGATTATGAGTAAAATATTTATAAGTTTTATGTGTGTGTATATATATATATATATAGAAATTACAACAAAAATTATTAAATTATATACTATATAATGTAATAACAACAAAAAAATAATAAGCAAATTCATTTAAATATAAATTAATAATATTTTTTCAGTTTAATTTATTTCATATTTTCATCAATTGAGGAAGAAAGCCTAAAAGCATGCTTTGAATTTGTTTGTTTTTTTTTTTGTTTTAAATTATCACTAAAATTCTATTTGTTGTTCTTGTTTTGTTGTTTGCACCTTTTTGTCTTCCTTGGGTGAGGCCTCTTCTCAGTTGTTTTTTGTTATTAAAACTTAAATAAAAATAAAATAACTCAAAATAATTCAAATTTATGTAGCACACCTGTCTGCCATCTTGTCTTCAGTTTTATTTTAGCTGCTCTTTGCTACTGTATTTTCTTCTTCTTCTCCACTCATTCTTTCAAATAAAATCTCTTCTTTCCTTGTAGCTTTTCCATTTTAATTGTGGGTTATATTTTGCTGTTTCATTTTATTATAACATCTTTGTCTTCACGTCTTCTTTCTTTTGTTTAATGTTGTGGTTGTTGTTGTTGTTGCTGCTGCTGCTGTAATGATGCCGCCGACATCATTAGGGCATCATCTCAGTTATAGCCAACATCTTGTTTAATTTCGGCATCATTCTCCTTTTCAATCATACCCTCATTGGCGGCATTATTCCAGGCACCATTCATACTTTTCGATGATGAGAAACATAGCTTCATAATAAAGGGGAATTTGGTGCCTAGCGTAAGTAAATGAAATGAAAGAAAGTGGAAAAAAGAAGACAAGAAAAATTAAATATAATCAGAAAAGGATTACAGATTTAAGCAGAAACAAAATTAATAAATAAGTTAGATATCAAATATTATGGCAATAAACGCCTTTTGTTTGGTAGATTATGAGAGAATTTTATGTAGAACTTGATTTCCTTTGGGACCAATCCCCCCATGGCAAGGGTGTTATGGAACAGAGTTTGGTCACTACGTTGAGTTTTGTGAAAGAATTCACACCACCTCAAAAGGAAAATATTTTGTAACGAAATTGTTTGTTAAATTCTCGTCAAACTATCATAGCTACAAGTTTCATTTGTTTGGTGACTTATAGTGAAATTTGATGAGGAATATTTTTTTTCTTGACACCACATACCTAAAGTTAAGCTTTACCCAGAAATTTTCACGAAATCGAACTTAAATCCGAAATTTAGTCATCATGAAAGCCTAAATTATTTGTCTCAATTTAAAATAAACTTTTATTGTTACATTCATTATACCTAGCTGTTAGTTCTGTTTCGAGACTCATAGTAAAATTTGATGAAGAACATCTTTCCCATTGCCACCGAAGCTCTTCAAAGAAGATTTAAGGGATAACTTGGCCCCAACTCATAAAGAGGGCAATATTAGAAAGGAAATATTTTTGGATACGCATTTACAATTAAATTGCAGTCAAACCACAATATCTACAAATTTGATAAGTTTGGGGGCCTGGACTGAAATTTGATAAGGAACATTTTTTTCCTTGACACTACCTACCTAAAGTGAAGTTTTCTTCAAAAATTTGCACCAATTCGAACTCTAATTCGAGATTTATTTAAAATTGCAGCCTAATTATTTATTTTAATTTAAAGTTAAAATTTATTTTGTATTTATTATACCTAGCTAAAAGTTCTGTTCTGAGACTCATAGTAAAATTTGATGTAGAATAAGTTTTCCATTGGCACCAAATCTCTCCAATGAAGATTTAAGGGACAAACTGGCTCCAATTCAGAAAGAGACAAATTCAACGAGAAAAAACATCGTTTTTTTATCCTTCAAATTTTAACAGAAATATAATAGTTACGGATTTTTGTTGGCTGAAATGTTCTACACATTTCTCCTTAAAGCGAGTTTTTTTTTATAATTCTCATGAATGAAATTTATGAAATTTTCAAAATTTCTTTGTAAGGACTTGTTGAATTGAGTTGTGAGACATTTTTTTCTTGATTTTAACCCTCAAATGGCCACAGAAAGGAAGAATTTATATTATTGATTTAATTTTATACCAAATTAATATAATTTTGTATTCAAATATTCCAGTCTTGCACTTATTTCAAAGAGAAATTAAGTTATTCAGAGAAAATAAAGTAAACGCCTGGAAGTATGCTTTGAATTTCTTCATTAAATATAGAGACCAAGTAAAGCTAACTTTAAAGGTAAATACGTGAATGATTGGTTTAAAACTAATACAAATTAATAAATGTTGTAACATCTGAGGAGCCTAGGGAGCAATACTGAGGGTCATAAGCCGTCGTACCCCAAAAGATAGTGGAGAAAAGCTCTCAAGTAATGGGAGAAAATGTGTTTTTATGAGAATGTTTTAGTGGATTATTTCGCATCAAAATTTAAAATTTTTACAATTCAAAGGGCAAATAAAAATTTGCGTTTTGTTTTGTCAAGCTATCCTTACGGAACTGTGTCTTCAAAGTGTAAATCTCCCAAAGACTTGTTAGACCTAAGAGTAGTTCTGAAAAATGGGAGAAAATGTTTAAACTTATATGAATCAATTGTCGCCCATAAAAGACCTACTCTAAAATGCCAATTCTAAGTTCTAGTGATAATTATTATTATTTTTGCTCTCTAAGGCGTCAAGTGTAACCTTGGTTTTATACTTCTTCTCTCACAACTATTTTTGTTATTTTTTTATTTCTTACCTTTGCCTTCAATGGGCAGATGATTACACTTCATGATTGCCAAAACAGCCTGGGCAATATTGGGGAATTCAATTAGACCCGATGAGGAACGTTCGGTCTTAAGGGGGAATAGCCTGACAGATGTTGCAGGAACCTCTTTGATATTGAAAATGCCAATCAATTGATCCTCGGTGAGACCAGGTGGTGTGTTGAAGAAATGTAAAATCTGCAAAAATAAAACAAAAGAAAATATTTTTATTATTTTCAACATTCTCTTCTCAATTTGAAATTCAATTCTCTTACCTTGCTCGGTGGTTGTATACGATTTTTGCTAGCCTGGGCTGGCGATAGGAAACGATTGTTCTTTGAACCGGTGTATTCTTTGAAGCTGGGTGTGTGATCGGCCAATAGGAAGGGATTTATGACTTCGGACAAAAAGTTCTGTTTGGAGAAGGCGATTTGGATTTTGCCCTTTGTGCCAACGGGAATGTTGTTCAGATGTTGGACGCAACGTTCGACAGCCACTGAATCGCCCATTTGCACCATGGCAGTGCCTTCTTTGGTTTTAAGGAATTTGATCTGCAAGAAAAAACAAAGCAAATGGTTTTAGTTGAAAAATGAAATACTTGATTTCAGTTCCCAGGGAATTTGGGCAGGTGTTTTCTTGCAATTCAAGTTGAGTGCATAAATTATTAAATGTAGCTCCCCCCTTCCCCAACCCAAGCTGGTTATTATTACGTTGTAGATTTTCTATTGGCTATTTTGTGTTGTTGCTGTTGTTGTAGTCAATGGCCATTGATGTTTCATAGCAAAACATGATTGCCTTGCAAATTTCCCGTTATAAAAGTTGTTGAGCTCCAACCATCAGCCAGCCGGCCAGGCAATAATGCTCCCCTCTCCCCGTAGCTGTTCCCCCATTCACAAACACACAATTTATGTTTGCAGCAGCTTGATTACGGCAAACGGCAATTGGTTCATTGAATTATTGCATTATTGCGCTTTTATTTCGTTGATGAATGTAACTCCTCTCACTCTGAGGCAGTGTTGCAGAATAATTGCTCATAACAAGATATTTGTTTGCACACCGCAGCAGGGTTTTGGTGAACAATTTTGATAAAGAAAACCGACCAAAATGAGTTTGGAAAGGAAATGACCAATATTACATCAGCATGACCAAAGGGGAGAATGTAGTCCCCTGGGGTCGAAAAATATTAGAAGCCACAAAACCGTCACAAAAAAATGGAAATTTGGAATTTGAAGGGGAAAAGAGTGGGTTTGAACGGAGTCGGTTCATGCAAGCATTCATTTACCTAAGGAAACAAGTTTTTTTTTTTCAAAAAACTAGGAACTACAAAATTTGTCTCAAAGGAAAATTCCTTCAAAAAGTTCAAAAATGCCTTTCTGTTTGTACAACATAAGATGGAACATTAGTTGGGATTTGAACAGAGATCAGATTGGGACGTTATTATACCAAATCAAAAATAGCGTCCTCAAAATTTGAACAGCAATGTAGGCAAGACTTCCGGGCATCATCGTTGGTTAGAAAAAAATTAGCTAAGCCCAAAAGTATACCTTCAAAAAACTTTATTTAAATGACAAAGGCTTAGATTTTGAAATAGAACCTGACATCGGGGACCTAGAGAAAAAATTGAAAAATGACTTTCTGTTCGTGAAATAGAAGGAACAATAGCTGGGATCTGAACAGAGATCAGATTGGGACGTTATTATTCCAAATCTAAAATAAAGCAGGAAAGTCGGAAAGACTTCCAGGCCTAATGGCTAGTTAGAAAAAAATTAGCTGAGCCTAAAAGTATAAAATTAAATTGAATAAGGAATGTCAAATAGGTCTCATGGCTCGTTGAGAAACAAATTAGCTGAGCCTAAAAGTATACTTCAAAAATGTCTTTAAAATGACAACGGCTGATATGTCATTTAGAAGTAAAAATATATTCTGGAGGAGCCTTTCATCAGTGACCTAGAATTATATTCAGATACTGATTATTAAAACCATATTTGGTTGAATACCGGACCCTCAAGGAGACCAAATTGGGAGTTAAATTAAATAAAAAGGTCCTTAATGAATAATATCATCCTAAAACTGAAAAGGAATGTCGGATAGCTGAGCCTAAAATTATACCTCAAAGAAACTTTTTGTCATTAAGAGGTAAAAAAAGATTCTGGGCGGGCCTGCCATCACGGACCTAGCATTATATACAGATACTAATTACAGAATTAATATTTGGTCGAATTGCCTAGGCAACCCTAATTCCTTATTCTCGAGCTCGCACTCACATAAATTCGCCCAGCAACCGAATAGAAAATTAGGATTTCTTTCCCATGTTTCACAGAGCCAAAAGATATCAATTATAAATATTGGTGGTGAACATGAAATAACGACTGGCGATATGTTGGGAGGGAGAGCGGAAAGATTGGTGGGGTAAACATTAGGTTTTGTTCGCAAAATTTTGCCAAGTGCTACAAAATGCAGCCGTAATGCCGCAATTCGTCTTAATTTGAGTGGTAGTAGTTACAACAAAATCCATTAACGAGTGGTCAATACACAATCTTGCACACACACATGCAAACAACAACAAACAATGTTGCACTGCCTGCATGGAAGAATGGAGTATGCAAGTGGTCGATGAGTTAGGCAAAATTTTGGGCATCAACACGCAATCATCTACATTTCCACTTAAGTATGGGCACACAAACCAATTTATAAGCACCAAAAATGGAGGCCATTATGAGCCAACACCAAGCTAGGTATGGATTTGTAACAAATATTTTTATGCAGCAATTGCTAAAAAATGCTTATGAAAGTTTTGTTGCTGTATTACAACAGAGGAAGCAAGAGAGGCACAGGCTCACAAAACACGTTTGCTACCAAACATTGGCATAATTGAATTTTCTAAGCGCAATCATCCACTATTAAGGTTCAATGAAATGCACACACACACAAAGTTGCAAAAGCCCACTCTCCCTTTCCTTCTCCTCCTCTCTCAGAGAGGGAGACAGCCAAGCAGTGCAATGAAACATGTTGATGTTGTTGAAATTACACGGCCTACTACCAACCCATCCAACACGCAATGTAGCAGCAGCAACAACATCCCCAAGGCGTTAGGCAGTTTCAATTGCTGTTGTTGTTGTATTTTACACTCTCAATTATTATTTGGAAAAATGAAAACGCAGCGTGTTGATCGTTCATAAGGATTTTCACTTTCACTTGTGCATGAACATACGTGCTGCCATTACAGGTGATGCTGCTGATGTTGATGATTGGTCATTGAAAGATCATTGCTCTCTCTCTCCCTCTCTGCCCCTTTCTCTCTTTATATTTATATCTCTGTGTTAATAATAGTAATGGGGTTTTGTGTGGATAATTTGAAATTGTTACAGGTGAAAATTATGAAACGTAATTGGGCTTTAACTATGAAGTTGTTCACTGAACTCTAGTAAATTTAAAAAAAATATAAAAAAAAAATATTAGAGGGAGAAATAGGTATAAATTTGGAAAAATTATAGAATGTGTTTAAAATTTCTTTATTAGAGGGAGAAATAGGTATAAATTTGGAAAAATTATAGAATTTGTTTAAAATTTCTTTCATCTTAATTTCAATATGCCAAGAAAATCATTTATATCTTAACTTTCAAAAATAATTAAAGAAAATTGATCAATGAACAGAAACAAAACAAATGGACATTTGAATATTTTTTACGATTCCATCAAATATGTTTCCCAAGCAAGTTAATTATGCTTAAAGCAGCTGGCTGCCGTTGATTATCCTTATGCGTGTTTACGGAAAGGCAAATAAAGATAATGAAGAAAGAAATTCTTATCGCAACATTAAGCAACAAATAATGGAGCTAAGAAGATGATGGCAGGGGGAACATCATGCCCCTCTTTCCCACAAAGGAAAATATAATATCCTTCCAAGAACAGTTTCTTTTCACAATTATCGTGGCAGAAAATGTTGGGACAGAAGATAGTCGCCTTCTTCTTAATAACAACTTCCAAATCAATGACCCAGGAAATGCAAAAGGACAAGGAATGGAAAGAAATCCTTACCACCACCACCGCCATCAGTTTAGGGGATAAATATGGGATTATTGGATTTTAATGAATTGTGTCTGTTGGTTTAATGATGTTCTCTCTCTCTCCCTCTCTCTATATGTGTGCCTTTGTGTTCGTTTGTATTTGTATTAATGCCTGACTTAGATTTCCCTCTTTGTTTGCAACATTTAATGGCAAATAAGAAATTAATTCAATTAAACGAAATACGCACAAAAGAAGAGATGCTTAGTTTTTCTTTTTCATTAATTTCTATTTTTTGTGTTTTTTTTCTATTTTCTCTTTTCTTCCCCTTGGAAAACAATTAAGTTTTTGTTGCTGTCCATAAGCTAAAAGAAAGTAACCTTTTTTTGTAGTGATTTTCGCCAAAAGATAAGACCACAGATAAATTGAATTGAACTGTTAATGACAGCCTCATGTTTTTGTTTTCCTCATTTCCTGTTACACGACACGACACCGACCAGGGGAGATTTAATTGTCCATAAAGGTCCTTGGGCTGTTCCATTGTCTATATTTTCTTTATAGAAATAAAATTCTTGTATTTTTTAAGAGATCCTTGGGGGACTTCCGTTCTCTTCTAGACGACCATTGTTTATAGAAGTTCTTGAGGTTCTCAATTGTCTAGAGAAGACCTGGTCCATAAATGACCTGTCCATGGATGACGTAAAGGTCATCTATTGTCCATAGAAGAGCTGGCGGTCGGTGTTCTAGTGTCCATAGACAACATAAAGTTCCTCTATTGTACATAGACGACCTGGACGTATATTGTCCATGGAAGACGTGAAGTTCTTCCATTGTCCATAGACGACCTAAAGGTCTTCTATTGTCCATGGATGACCTGTAATTTATATAGTCCAAAGTCCAAAGATGACTAAGAGGTCTTCTACAGTCCATGGATGAACTGGAGGTTATCCATTGTCCATAAATGACCTGAAGGTCTTCTATTCTCCACAGAAGACGTAGAGGTTATCCATTGTCCATATATTACCTGAACATTAGATAGCCCATAGATGAGCTGGAGGTCATCTACTGTCTATGGATGCTTTGGAGGTCTTCCACAATACTTAGAAGACCTGGAGATCTTCTTCAGTCCATAGATGACCTAGAGGTCATCTATTGTCCATGGATGATTTGAAGGTCTTCTGTTGTTTATAAATGACCTGGAAAATATTTGGTGCCAATAGATGACCTGGAGGTCATCTAGTGTCTATAAATTACGTGGAGGTCATCTAGGGTCTATAGATGACCTAAAGTTCATATAGTGTCTATAAATGAGTTGGAGGTCATCTGGAGTTCATAGTTGATCTGGAGGCCATTTAGAGTTCATAGATGACCTGGAGGTCATATTTTATCCATGGATGATGTGAAGGTCTTCTGTTGTTTTTAAATGACCTGGAAGTTATTTGGTGTCAATAAAAGTCCTGCAGGTCATATGGTGTCTATAAATGACGTGGATGTTATCTAGAGTCCATAGATGACCTGGAGATCATCTGTAGGAACTATGTGGCAT